CATCATTGGAGATACCTAAACCCTAAACCTTAAACCCTAAATCCTAAACCCTAAACCTTAAAACCTTAAACCCTAAACCCTAAATCCTAAACCCTAAACCCTGAAGCCCAGGAGGCCTCGCTTGCCACTGACCGCCTCCAGTCGCTCCGATCGACCATAGGGTCCAAAGGAATCCTCAGGGCTTGGAGCTTGAACAGGTAGGGTTCAGCGTTTAGGGTTTAGGGTGTAGGATTGAAGGTTTAGGATTTAGGGTTTAGGGTGTAGGATTTAGGGTTTAGGATTTGGGGTTTAGGATTTAGGGTTTGGGGTTTAGGGTGTATGGTTTAGGGTGTATGGTTTAGGGTTTAGGAGTAAAGATTTTAGGGTTTAGGATGTAGTATTTGGGGTTTAGGGCTTGGGATTTAGGATTTTGGCCTCAGGACTTGGAGGCTGTCGGGGTTTGAGTTGGGTACTGTCCCCACTCAGTACCCAGACCCCTGGGAGGATCCAAAAATTAGATCCCCTATATAGACCCATTATTAGCCCTATATAATCCTGATATAATTCCTTCTCTGGTTCTAGGGGATCTAATTTTTAGATCCTTTTGGGGGTCTGGGTAACGGTTGTCACAGTCATAGTAGAATTATATAAACCCCCTAATATTACTCCTAGCATGGATTGTTACTGGGTTGGGGCAGTACCCAAGGTTTCAGTTTCAAGGTTCTAAGGTCTTGGGAAGGGTTTAGGGTCTAAGCTGCAGGGTCTGAGATGTGAAGGGTATGATGAGGGTTTCAGGGCTTGAGGCTTCAAGGATTTGAGGGTGCAGGGGGTCTAAGGATTTAAGGGTTGAACAGGGTTCGCGGTTGGCGTTCAAATATTTTGCGATTGTTGTTGCAGTGCTGTAGATTCGAGGGTTCCAGAGGGCTTGGCATTCAGCAGTGGCCTTCACCGGTTCCTGTCAGCTTACCCGTGTGCACTTCAGATGGGACCGTCAAAATCATAGTTCAATCATGCATCCGGGAAGGAACCCACCCCAAAAGACAAGGATCCCCCCAAGTGTCCCTGAGGATTCATACGCAAAAAAGACCTTTGAGCAATAAGCTTTTTTGGTTGTACAGAACAAGATGCAGATCCCTGGCTACCTACCTTCTTCCAGTGGTCACCCCCTTGTGCCGGGTCCTTCGGAGCGCCGAGCGAGCCGGTGCTGACGATCCTCTTGTCCTCCTCCTGCGTGATGAACATTGCACAGAAGGCACAATACATTGCAGTAGGAATAAGAAGAGCCATTCGAGGGGGCTGGAAATCAGGAGGGCAGGCGGGACTCAACTTCGAGTCACTACACTCAGAAAACACAGCTGTGAAGCCCATGCTCCAAGACCACTACCTCTAAAGCACCGCCTTCATGAACATACGTAGCATGTTCGGACAGGCAACGGTTTGGAGAAGTTCCAATCTCGCTCTTTCCCAAGCTGAGGCACGGAGTCACAGTATGCTGCCGTCAGATGCTCATGCTTCAGGAGGTCTAATGCACAAGACGCCCAAATCACATAACCTCTGTGCCTTCCCTTTCTTCCGTATGATCACCCAATCACCAGGAAGTTCCCCAAAAGGAGGATATAATCTTACTCTATATTGGGTGCCATAGTATCCCCAAATAAAAATTAAAGAGCTACAATATAATATGATCCCTATACTTCTCAAAACTGTGGGTCCCTCAAAGAGACCCCGGCAAGAACGACTCAGTAGCTTCTCGAAAAACAGCCCCGGTTTCACTACACCTGTATACCACCATATAGCCCAGCTTCCATGTCATTTTCCATGTTCTTTTCCATTTGATTCGCAATCATTGGGAGATAATATCACAATATAACCCCTATATAACCCCATATAACCCCCAATATAACCCCCATATAACCCCGATATAACCCCCATATAACCCCCATATAACCCCTATATAACCCCCATATAACCCCAATATAACCCCAATATAACCCTACTATTCCCTGGATCCTTGGTGAACTCCCTTCGGCCCTTCTTCGGCCCAGGGGAGGCTCCAGACTTGCCGGCGGAGGCCTGAAAGGACTTTGGGAATGCATATTGGGGTTATATATGGGTTATACAGGGGTTATATGGGGGTTATATAGGGGTTATATGGGGCTTCAGATTTAGCAGGAGTGATCATATTGGGGATTTTTGTGCACTATATTTTGGAATTAGGACATTCTATTGGGGATCTAGGGCATTGCATTGGGGATTTAGTGCATTATATTGGGGATTCGAGGGGAACATTTTGGTTATATCTATGTAAAGCCAGGGTTTGGGGTTGCTATGCTAGCACTGAAGGGGTAGCTTCTACTCACCCCCGCTGCGTTCGTGGGGGCCATCTAGCATGCAGGTGACAGCTGCATCTTTCACCTAACTATATCAATCCTCCAAGCAAGGACTTTAGGGTTTAGGGCTTAGGGTTTACAACACCACTGCGGCAGCACTGTGACGAGGAACTGTTGGCGAAGGATCATAAAAACTACAACGTGATCCCCAGCACGATTCTCGGGCCAGCTACATTATTCTGGGGTACAAATACATCCAGGGCCCCTACAAAAAATGAAGTCTGTCCTATGGGTTATGTACAGTATATATACAGTTGTATAAGTATTGTGGCCCATAATAATCAAAAAGATTTTTCCAGTAATATGCCGGTTTTCCGCGAAGACGCAACCCAGGTTCTTGAGGCAAAGCATATCTCCCAGCCTGGACCCAGCGCACGCTGTATAGCACCGGCTCCTGCAGCGTGAAGCTTCAGGCTCCCGGGCCCGCAAGGGTTTAGGGTTTAGGGAAAGAAAAAGACAACGATTTACGGTTTATGGTCAGGGAATGTGGGAACGGCAAGAAACTGGAAGCTGCCATAGTGGAGAATCAACTGGAAAAGAGAATAAATGAAATGGAAACTAGCGTTATGTAGAGATTGTTTCGCAATGTACGGGGGAACGGAAAACAGAATGGAAAGCACTGCATTATGAAGATGTAGTAGGGGCTACTATAAGCATCCGTTCCCTCGATCCCTACCCACAACCAGAAAAATGAATCCAGGAGAGTAATGTGGTAGACGTGTGGCTCCAAACATTGTGGGCCTGCTTTGCAGGTCCCGCGAGCCATACCATAAAGCGATGCCTGAAAATTGGGGATCCTCATCATATTCGGACCCTCCGTGACATTCCGCTTTGCATGTGCTATATCCAACCTTTACAGGAACCCAAGCCAAGAAGTGGGTTTTGAACACGGCGAATTGCGCGAAACTGGAAGGTACACAGCTCGTGAGTTGATAGAGCAGATGAAACATGTCGTTTTCTTCTCAATCAACTTGAAGCCACCACTCTTGGAACATGGTGTCTTTCCTGTGATAGCTTTGGATACTAAATACTGTTACTGTTCTACTTCTATTCCGACTACTTCAGCTAACACCACCTGTTCCTCGAATCTTCTCCTGACTTTGGTGTTTCCCTACGTGGGAACCTGGCTAAGATACACCAGAATATCACCATGCTTGTTACAGGGACTTCCATCCAAAAGAATGCCTGACTTTGGCACACCCACTTGGTCGCACATGGTTGATCAAAAAATCCTGTACCCAAAATGGCCATGATGGAAAACAAATTCTCTACATTTTCTCATAGCCTATAGTATCCCTCCATAATTTGCCCAAATGACCCTTAGATCTACCACAAATTTCCATGTTCTTATCATCCCCGTATATACCCCCAGATGTTCTTTTCCATTGTCCCTATACAACCCTGCATATATAACTATAGAACTGTATGACCCTAAGTAACCCTATGTAACCCCATTCAATGCATATATAACCATATAACTTCATAACTACATAACTATCGAACTATATTATCTAATTATGACTATATATCTATATATATATATTTCTATATTTATGACTATATGTCTATACATATACATATATATCTCTAGTTACATGGGTCCTTCTCCGGGGCGCCCAGCGCCGCCAGGCCGCCAGGGCCACCTCCGGCGGCGGCTTCCGCCTTGGGCGGTGCGCGGCCGCCACCTGAGCCAAAGGCTTCTTGAAAAGGATCGGGGGTGGGGGGTTATAGGGGGTTATAGGGGGGTTATAGGGTGGTTATAGGGGTTTAGGGTTTAGGGGTTTAGGGTTTGGGGTTTAGGGTTTAGGATGGGGTTACAAGGGGTTATAGGGGGTTATGGGGGGGTTATAGGGGGTTATAGAGGCTTATAGGGGTTTAGGGTTTAGGGATATTCTCCCCCTATAATGGAAAAGAAAATGGAAAATGAAATGGAGAGTGTGGTAATATTGGGGTTATACTAAGGTTGTATTGGGTTTATATAGGGACGACGGAAAAGAAAATGGAAACGACTATAATGGGGTTATATAGGGTTTAGGGTTGGCCCTTCAGAGGTCCTCGAAAAAAAAAAGTGGGGATTGTAACGAGATTAAAAGGTTGAAGGTTTAGAGTTGAAGGTTGTGACAAGATTATAGGGCTCCCCCTTTTGGGCCCTAAACCCTAAACCCTAAACCACAGTTTTGAGAAGCTCCAGAGGCCAGCGTCATATGCATGAGTAAACGGATGGCAGTGCAGGGAAGCAGCTATCGCAATACACGGTTTAGGGTTTAGGGTTTACGGTTTAGGGTTCAGGGTAGCAACGGTGAGAACGGAAAGATAAGCACCAGGGCAATGGTAAGCATTGCTCTGTTGAAACGAATTTCATACTGCTGCACTCACTGTATTTCTATAACCCCTCAGCAAGGGAGATATGTGAAATCTGTAGATTTATGACTACTCTCTCGGGAGCATTGTCAGAAACCCAACAAAAATCCTGCAATGCGATGCCTTTGCCGTTGGACAACTTTCGACCGCTTGTCACAGACAGTTTTCACTGGCAATAACAAGACTAGCACGGCAGAGAGTCAAATGTAGGGATATCAAGGGATACAAACGGAGAATCACCTGTAGGAAGAACGGAGAATTAAATGGAAACTACCTCGCTTTACGCGGCTGTTGGCTTTGCCCTTGCAAGGACCGAAGAGGCACTGGACTTTGTATCCAGGCCTTGGACCTAAAACCCTCTCCGCCTGCAGATCGGCTCTCGAATGCATCGAAGAATGCCAAGGTCACCTGACGACAGCGCTTCTTGTTGTTTTTTCTTGTTGATTGAGTTCAAAAAGCACAAGCACGCTGAGCGAAGTGGATGGCTTAGGGGGCCTTTGAAAGTCCAAAAGGCCTTGCAGTGGAAACCTTGCCCTGCTTGGCCAGTGAAAGTTGCAACTCCTTCACTGAAACCTATGTAGGAGCGGTGCCTTCCCTTCCTTCGAGGTGTCCAACTTGATCAACTCGATGTCCGAGATGTTTGAGATCTGTCGCGGCTTCCTGGAAACTTGCATGGGAAATTTCTCCTCCTAGCCACGGACATGGCACTCGCCCTGGCCTGGGCGCACGTTCGCGCTTGGCCCCTCCTTTGGCCATGGTCGGGTCAGTGCGGCGCATGGCGAAGCCACGGAAGTCGTCGAGGTTTTGCCGGCCTCTCATGCAAAGGTGACCAGAAGGTGCATCCTACAAAACGCCCATGGCGAGATGACACTTGCTTGGGCCTTTCTCGTAGCCCTCCATGTGGTCGAGGAAGTCCTCGACGGAATCCTCGCCCTTAACCAGGTTGACTTTTCTCTCATTGTGTTCGTTTGCCCTGCAGGCCCTCCTCCATTCCAGCTTCAGCTTCTAAGATCTTGCTTAAGACTTACAGCCAAAACAACAAAGACCTTCTGCAAAAACACCCGCTTTTCTGGGTTGCTGTTAAGGAACTTAAGTTATGATACTATGTTGGGGAGGTCACATTAACTTATATATATATATATACCCACTATGGCAACGTCATCTACGTTCCTTAACAGCAACCCACTTTTCTCTTGGCCCGTCTCTGCTGCTGCGGCGGGTAAATAGCAACAAGCAGGCCACCTGGAAGTCGCCAGCGGACTTGAAGAGATCTTTGGATTCCTCCGGAACTTACTGGTTCTTAGTTGGGCAGAAGGGAATCTATACACTGTAACTACATTCCTATGTTCTCTACTAAGAACCAGTAAGGGAAAGTCTGGGCGTTGAGAGCTGGGCTTTGGGACTTTGGGCTGTGGATTGTCTTGCGTGCATGACGGGTCATTCGCCCAGGAAGGGTGAGACCTTTGCCCAGCACTCGTCCCCTGGACGAACATATCCTTAACCTCATTGAAATCTCATGGAACCTTGAAACCCCAAATCCAGAGGTCTCGAACCAGACTGTCCCAAGCCCTTAGCTCAACAAACCCAAAAAACAGCGCACTCTCCAACACCAAAACCGTCAAAACCCTCTCTAATCCTCACGCCCCAAACTTCCCAGCTCCTAAACCCTTAAACTCCATAATTCTCTTAAAATCCCTAGAATCCTGCTTTGGGAACCCTCTGTGGCCTTGGCACATCGTTTTGCCTCCTCGAAGTCGGTGAGACCAAGGTGGGCACCCGACTGGAGCATCATGGACCCGGCCTTTCAAAAATACAGGGATCATGCGGGATTATTTTTTTAGGGTTTAAGGTTTAGGGCTTAGCATTTAGGATCACGCGGTCTAGGGTTTAGGGCTTAGTTAAATACGGGGATATGGGATTATCTAGGGATATATGGGGACACATCAGATATGGGACTATATAAGGATGTATGGGGATATGGGACACACTGAGGATATATGGAAGTATCTAGGGAGACATACGGATATGGCATTATGCAGGGATTTCTTGAGGATATACGAGGATACGTGGGGATTACATAGTGTGAAGGGGGGTATATGTAGGTTTGAGAGTTTAGACTTGCTGTTTTAGGGATGACGACTTGCAGCTTAGAAGTTCAGGGGTTTGAAGGACCACAAGCCCTAAACCCTAAACATCTATAGCCAAAACCGAAGCACGGCATCTTCAAGCTTTTAGGAAGCTCCTTGGGCTTGCAGGATAGACTCCACATGTAGTTACCTTACTCTGGACTAGTATATTCCCTTATTCCCTACTAACCTCCCGTGAGTTAAGGGGGATCACGATGCAACATCCCAAGCCGGCCTCAGGGAGACCTTTTTGTTGGAAACAGGACTTGCCGACACGAGGCCATACCTATTCCGGGCCCGGTAGATGTTGTGAAAACCTCTTCGTCTGGAAAACTTAACCAATCGCTCCAAATCCTAAACCCAAGACACTAAATAGTACTGCAGTTTCCGTTTCCTTGTCCAATCTCTTTTCCGCTTGATTTTCCATTATTATCCTGGCCCCTCTACCATATACATATATCTCTCTCCCCAGACCCCCAAAAAGATCCAAAAATTAGATCCCCTAGAACCATAGGGGGAATTCTATAAGGATTATATAGGGCTTATAATGGGTCTATATAGGGGATCTAATTTTTAGATCCTCCCAGGGGTCTGGGTCTCTCTCCCAAATACAGCTGTCAGAATCCCATGCCTCGCCGGCAGTGTCGCGGAGGGCGCGGAAACGGCCTTCTGCATCCTCAAGAGCACATGATAGCAAAACCAATTGGGTTGCTGTTCAGGAACTTAAATTAAGTTACCATAATGGGTATATATCGTAAATAATAGGGTTTCCAAAATATAGTAACTTAATTTAAGTTCCTTAACAGCAACCCAGCCAATTCTGTCCTTCTTCTATTGCTACAGTCTAAACTCCGTAAAGAGGGCTATATAGAGCCTTGCACACGCGACTTCCTAGTTTAGAATATGGTTCATATTGCTACTGCTATTGCTCTTAATCTTACAACTAACTACTACAAGGCGGTTTAGGGCTTAGGGTTGCGGCGTTTAGGGCAAGGATTATGATGGCGACAATGACGTTGCTCACTGCCGCTACCAAGCCTACTACTGTTTCTTGTTCTGTTGCCTTTACGACTTTCCCGAGAAATCCTGACTATAAGCCCCTACGTAAACCCGTATTAACCCCAGTATCCATTTCGTTGCTAGAGTTCTTGCCCGTTTGCTTCACTATTAGGGTACTATCCCTACATCCCTCACCCTATATATGTCCCTATAAACCCAATTTCTATTTCATGTTCCATTCTCTTTCCATTTGATTCTCCATTGCCCCAACCTCAATTTTCTCTATCTCAAGATCTCAAAGCCCAACACCCAAACATAGCTTCCGTGTCATTTTCCATTTGTCTTTCAATTTAGTTGGGGTGCTAATATGCTGGGTCAGGACTTGTCTCTATACGAGCATTGTCTCAACTCCTAGTATCCCCCCATATAATCCCCTTTCAGGAGTTTAGACTATAGCTTATAATAATGCCTATGAATCCCTACATAATCCCAATTTCCGTTGGATTTTCCATTTTCTGTCCCATAGGATTTCATGCGCGTTCAATTCAAAATTTCCAGTTGATTTTCCATTGCTGGGGAATATTCCTGTAGTAGTCCTCTATATAATACAATCCCCTATATAGCCACATATGCAGCCCAGGCCTGTGCAGTCTTCAGTGCATCTTCGAAGTTGCGGGTCATAAGGTTGGCATTCGCCAGGATGTGGAGGCTGATGGCAGTCTGGGTCTTCTCGCCAAGGTCCTGCCAAGGAAGCCCTAACGGCAATTTCAAAACTTACCGGGGAGCCTGTGGAATCTCAATGTGTGCTGTGCAGATTTGGAGAATTCAATGTTTCCGTTGCCTGAAAGATGGTTTAGGTTGGCATGCCCTTACCCTAAACCCCAGACCCCTAAACCCTAAATCCAGACCCCTAAACCCTAAACCCAGACCCCTAAACCCTAAACCCTAGACCCCTAAACCCTATACCGCACATTCTAAGCCCAGCAGGTTGAGATCCTGGTACAGCTGAACAGCCTCCTGCGCGGCCCGGAGAGCCTCCTGGCAGAAGCGAGCAAAAATCAATTGGGATAAACGGTGGCTTCCGTAAACAGAGGGATCCTAACATAGACCCCAATAAAATACCCCTAAATTCTTGGGAAACCTCCCTTTGGGAGTATGTCAGGTCTTCTCCCCCAAGAACTTTCCAGATTTGGACCACAGTCCCAGGTCCTGCGGGTTGCCCATGCCCATGGAGGCAAGCGCAAAATGCACGTCGGAGACCAACTGTGCTGCCTCGGGCTAAAGGTCCCCGAAGCAAGGCTCCACCTTCCCCTTCTACTTACCAAAAAAGACTACTTTAGGGTTTAGGGTTTAGGGCTCCCTCCTTCTCCAAACAAACTTCTGTGTAACCCTAACGCCTATAGTCCCCCTTGAGTAGATAGACCATGGCTTTGGATATGTTATATTAAGATCCCCATGTACCCCATATTCTATCTACTTAAGGGGGACTATAAGCCCTAAACCCTGAACATGGCCCAATCTTGCTTCATTCAACCCTGTCTTGCTCCTGTGAAAGACTCCATGGCCCCAAGCCATGGTTGTTCTCTTCCTTTTTGTAGCAAGGGGGGATATATGGGTGTTGTATAGGGAATATATTGGGATAATGAAAAGATAATGGAAACTACTATTTAGGGTATGGTTAATGGACACAAGTTGGACACTGCCCCGAGCCACTAACAGTGGCTTCATCGGAATACGACTCCAGGCTCTACATGTCTATATTTGCAATATCTTGAAATGAAATGGCCGACAATGGTATGGTCAGGTCTTGAGATCAGGGTGCCTCCCAAGAAAACAGTCCTCAAAATCATAATTTTAAGGTCGCTTCATATGACCCCTGTAGCAGTCAAACAGAAATCCTGCTGACGCCAAAAATCACAATACAACCCTCATCCGCAAAGAATGACCATGGTTCTTACTTCAACTTTGATTGCCTCAGCTCGCCCGCGCTTATCACCGAGCTTCCTGCTGACAGAGGCTGCTCAAGAATAGTTTGGAGAAGTGCTAGGACCTACACCTTTGCTATTTGCCTTCCGATCTGCAGGATTGGAAGGGGTGTGGTCTCTAGACCTAAATAGGAACACCCTACAAGTTTGCATGAAACCTTGCTACAGCAGCAACATGACAACGCATTGTAACTACTCAAGGAATTTGATACGATGTGCAGCAAACATGTCCGGCTGGGAAAAGCTTTAATACGTCTTCGAAACCAAGGTATCATCAAGGTGTAATCTGCAACCGTTCACAGACCCAAGATTCTGATTTGAGTGCCATGTTCTCACCAAAGTGCTATGAGTTCCTGCGGCACTCATAATTCTAATGACGAATGAAGACAGCGTGTCAAGAACAAGAACGCTCTTTCTACAGAATGGCATCCATGTACGGCATCTTTACATGCTATCGAGCTATCATAGCCCAATGATTTCGCTACTCAATTTTGGAGATTTGCTAACAGCCCCGTATGCCTCAAAAGGACCAGATGCTGCAAACAAAATGGAATCCCAACTGTTGCCGACGCCTTCCCCCCAGCCTGCCGTCGCCTCCTACAGACCCTGAGCCCCCCAAGCCCTGAACACCTGCAAATACCCAAGACTGAACCCCCAACATCCTCAGGCTCCACATCCACCCATCCCCAGCCCCAAAACTACAAACCACAAAACTCCCCCTTGAACAACCGATATAACCCATTATAGTAATTTCCATGCTCTTTGTAATTTAATTATCCCCAAATCAACCCAACATAACCCCAATATAACACCAATATAACCCATTATAATAGTTTGCATGTTCTTTTCCATTATCCCCATATAACCCCAAAATAACACCAATATAACCCTAAAATTTGACAGTTTCCAGTTTCTTTTCCACTATCCCTATATAACCCCTGTATACCCCCTATGTAACCCCATATAACCCCCATATAGTACCCTAATATTCAAAGCACTGAACCGGCCTGTAGGCAAGAGCGCACTCCTCTGCGGCACGCTGGGCCTGCTGGGTGTCACCTGAAACTTACTGGGGGTTTGTAGGTGAGAAGGGAATAAATGGGTTTTAGAGTTTAGGGGTTAGGGTTTAGGATTTAGGGGTTAGTAGTGAGTAAGGAATATATTTTATGGCGGTTTTATTGGCATAATGGAAAAGAAAATGAAAACTACTATAATGGGTTATATGGGGGTTATATAGGGAATATATAGGGTTAAGCGTTTTGGGGTTAGCAAGGAAGACGGGAATATACTATATCCCTTCTTCCCTACTAACAACCTGTCAGGAAAAGCTTCTGGGGTTTCCATCAAAAAGCATTGTACGGGGTCTATATCGGGTTTATGTACGAGTTATTCAGGATTGAAATGGGGAGTATATGGGGGGTTGCACTACTAAGGGACGCCAATCTAAGCTAGAAACTCCCAAAACAGGACCCCTAATGCTTGGAACCCCCCATCTCGCAATGGGATACCTTTGAGCCTAGATAAACTATAGTCTGAACTCCTAGTCCTAGTATCCCACTTAATAACCCCATAATACTCCCACGTATAATCCCGTACGTAGCCCACTTTCAGGAGTTGAGACTAGAACTCAGATCGTGTGCAGGGCAGAGCTACCGTTCAGGATTTGGAGTTTAGAGCGTTGAGCTCAGAGCCTAGGGGTCCCAACTTTTGGGGGATCAGGACTTGTTATATGATCCAAGATCTTCAGAGACTCTCATGCATTTTGGTATATGTAGCTGGACCCTACGGACATGGTACCCTATCGATATGTTTGGCTTGAGGACCTAGATTAGCTCGCTGGATTGACTTGGATTGGGCTTGCGAGCTTAAGAATTACATGTGCGCTTTGGAGCACGTTTTCTGGCAGATACCCCGGGATTGTGCAGCAAGAGGACTTGCGATGGTCTCCTGTCACACCAGGGTGGTGTCTTCAAAGCTACCCTAAGCTCTAAACACTAGAAGCTTCAGGAAATAACAGCAAGAGTAAAGACAGTAAGAAAAGCAAGAATAGTGATCATCAGAACAACAACTGTACTCCACATGGGTAGTTTCCAAAATTAGGGATCCATTTTGGTACCCCTAAATACTAGGTGCCGTAATATAACCTATAACCAAATGGGGCCCATAATTTTGACAACCACCCACATCCATGGCACCCCGGCCTTTGCCAAGATGAATCTTGGCAATTCCGAGCCAGGCTTCGCCCTCACCTTTCCTGTCACCTGGCAGAAGGATTTGGCGTTTAGGGTTTAGGGTGGTTGTTCTGATTGTTAACACTCTTCTAGACTAGTATTAGAAGCTAACGGCAACCAACATGATTATTTGCATTATTATTTGTATTGTTACTCTTATGATTAATCCTTGTACCCTTGTACTTTCATTAGTAATACTATTGCTTATCATTATTCTTGTCACCTGGCAAGCATCAGCTCTGATTCTGTTACTGTTACGACTATCACTGCTATGTTCATTACCATCACTATCTTCGTTTTCTTTGTCATTGTTACTATAACTATTGTCATTATGGCTATTACTATCATCAGCAACAGTGTGATTACTAATACTTACTATTTGCGGAAGATTTGAAGTATGACCAGTAGCATTTCCTTGTTGGGATAGGGGGGTTAAATCGCAAAGAAAATGGAGAGTGAAATAGAAGCTGATGCTTTACAGGGGCTGTATGGGAGTTACATAAAAACTGCAAACAGGTTCAAAATGCAAATCGCAGAGGCCACTAGGGGCAGCTGCTTCAAACCAAGTATTGCAATATGGAAATTGCTCCAAACAGAACGCACCGTCCCCGCATGTGCCCAAAAAGTAAAAAAATGCTACATGCAAGGGCACCAGCAACAGGTCCTAAATTTGGCATACACTCTAAGAATTCCCGCGATTCATGTAGGACCCTGCTTACCAAAAACAACCTTTCCCCCGGCCCCATTTCCTTTGGCATGACGCCACATGCCCCGGAGCGCCTACAGCCAGGAAGAGCGCAGGGCACTGCACAAGGCAGTTCAGCGCTTCCTGCTTTGAGCGACTTACCCTCAACGCAATAACAACCCGAACGCGCGCTAACAATGAGAATAGTTATAGTGAGACAGAAACCATGAGAAAGATAAGAAAAAACTTGGCACTGCCGTCATTGCAACAACAGCACGACATGCTGACTCTTTCACATTAGAAAGAAGGACACGCGCAAAAGGAAGAGCAATAGCAGATACTCTTCAATGTCCAAACCTCTGTTCTGAACCGAGATATAGACAAACTGGATTCAATGGCTCTCAAGAGAGTCTTGCAAGCGTAGCCCATTGCAGGTCGGCTTAGTTCGCTCCAGCCTCCAGATCACCCCGCATCTGATGCAGCTTTGCCTCAGGAGCTTGCTGCACAGTTAAAGACCGAACGTGACACCGACACGAAGATACCACGCGCATCGTTGCTGCAATTTCTTCTGCAAACAGTAGTAGCTACAACCCAGAACGCTTGTCTTGTTGATGCGAAACTGGACCATCACAAGAGCAAAGAGGTCACAGACAAATGTTGCGGGTGCTTCCCAGCTTGCGATCTGCGGCACCATCATGAGGAACGCAGAGCCCTCACCCTTCTTCTCCTAGCATGGACCAGGCAAGAGAAGCGTGCCCTCGGAAACAAGCACGCTCTTCTTACCAAATTATGATGGATCAAAAGCTCAATTCATGCAGAGATCCTACTCAAAGGCAGGATCCCACAACCCAAACTGGCCAGAGTCGATGAGTTATTGTTGTTGTAATCGTCATGGTCGTAGTGTTCCGCACTTGCTGGTATAGTAATTTCCATTTTCTTTTCCATTACGCCAATATAACCCCAATAATATATATACCCCTAAACCTAATAACCCCTCTAGTAGTCCCCTATATAATCCCCTATATACCCCCCCCTTAAGGAGTTTAGACTATAGCTCATATGATGAGCTCTCCTTCAGACTCTTGAAGCGGCGCTGCTGTTCCGAAGCCAGACGCATGCCCTCATCAGCGCTTCCTTGGCCGAGGCACAACAGATGGGTGGTTGTCAAAATTATGATCCCTTTTTGGGTACCCTAAATATTAAGTGCCGTATTATAATAGGGATCCAAAAAGGGACCATAATTTTGACAACCACCCAGATGAAGAAGGGTGTTCCGTGCTTGTGCGCGCGTGGCACTTCTGCAGGTGTTCTGGATTTTCTCGTTAATTTGCAGATGCTTGGGATGGCTGATGAAATTTGATTGATACCTGTAGCATTATGCACAGATTCAGAAGGTTATGGGCGGTGCCAGGAGGCATATCTGCTTTGCAAGGAAGCGTGGGAACCCTTCTTAAGACATCAGCCTGGGCCCCTTGAACTGTGCAAAAAAGATGTGTGGGTCACAACTGAAACCGAAACCCCAACTGCATATCGAAGTCAGAGCCCATCCCAGGAACCCAAACCTGTAGGTGATGCACAGAACTTTTGCCAGGGCACCCATGCCAGCCTGGGCATCCACCATGGCCTCACAAATGCAAAGCTGACTGCATGATTGGATGAGAAATTGGGAAGTGAGGGTCTGGCCTCGTTCCGCAGGATTTGCAGAAATATCATCAACTTTTGAGGTCACTCCTGATGACTTTTGGCTAGGAAGGGCAGGCTACCTCGCTCCTGTTCTGCATAGGAATGCAAAATCACTTTCCAAAGCAGACCCTTGACAGATACGAGCTACAGTCAGCATTTCCCAAATAATTAATGGACATGGGTTTCTTCAGGGACTACAGTAAACTACCAAAAGGACCCTTAGGCATACCCTTAATATTGACAGTAGCTCATGCGAGGGGCTCAGGGTCCCTTTCACCCTAGCTAACATCTTGGGAAAAATTGGGAGCTCAGTCCTGTAGGAGGAGCTGAAAACTGACAGCAGTCCCGAGTGAACCTCCATAGGCAAAAGGACAAAGTTTCCGCACTGTCAAATTCCTACTCATCGATCATTCTAGACCGTCCTGCGCAATGCCACCCTCAAAACATTGACTCGGACTGCACCTACTTTGCCTTGACATCCTGAAATGAGTCGAATTCGTGATGTCCGTCCGCGTAGTATCAAGGAAGCGCATAATATACTATAGTAGTTTCCATTTTTTCCAGTATCCCCAATATACACCCCAATATACTATAGTAGTTTCCATTTTCTTTTCCATTATACCCAATATGACCGACAATATACTATAGTAGTCTCCATTTTCTTTTCCATCATACCCAACATTACCCCAATATATCCCAATATAACCCCATCCCTAAGTCTGGAAAAAAGTGTCATGGCAGCAGCCTTCAGGCACACGATCTCGGCATCGCGGGTGGCCCGGCTGGGGAAGGCCTGGATGGATGGCTACTGCGGGTTTAGGGTTTAGGGTTACTCCAGCCAAGTTACCAACATATGGGGGGTTCCCTCAAATTAGGGGTACCTTTTTAGGGGTCCCCATAATAAGGACTATAGTATATTGGGGGCTATATTGGGCCCCTTATTTTGGGAAACTACCATATCAGAACCACAAGCCGCAGACAAGCAGTGAGATTGCCATCTGTTTCCATGAGTTGCACGGCGCCGCCTGGTTTCGGAAGAGGCCGCAAGCCTGAAGATCTTGTCACAACCCTCACCCTGACCACACGCTGGACATTCAGAAACGGCAGATGGAGGCGGATGCTGAAACTGCATCAATGCAGAATGACTCTGGTTTGAAATGGCGCATCACAACTCACAACGGCAAATGTGTCGATGTTAAAGCTCACATAGGAAAATATGAGCCACATGGCCTGCTCGGCAGCGCGCAGTGCCTCACCCGGCTCCTCCTGTCAAGTCGCATTCTTTGGGATATATGGATGTGCCGCACCAAAACATCCGAAGAATGCAAAACTCGGACCAAAAACAGAAAGGTGACCCAGCAACCCTAGCAACTCCTGGGATCCCGAACCTCCGAAACTTTGGTAAGGACACCATCTAGCGCGACACTCTACATAGGTGCTAGTAGGAACTTGGGAACTCCTAACACTCCAAGCAGATCATCGGAATACCCATCACCCCAAAGCCCAACATACACGCTACCCACCTTCTCCAGCCGAATCAGGGCTGAGGCCTGCAAGGCCTGTTGTCGCACCATGGGTAGCGTTTTTTTTGGTGGTTAAACCTAGTAAGATTATATTCCTTATAGAAAATACTATACCCCAAAAGGAGGATATAATCTTACTCTGTATCGGGTACCATAGTATCCCCAAATAAAATACTACTCCCATGGGTTTCATCTTCCATGCACGAGCTGCTTGTAGGTTGCACAGGCGAAGGGGGAAGGAAACAAAAATTGCTGAGACACCCTGCTGACAGCTCGAAACGCCTGTCAAGCAACAGCCTAATGCGACCAATTAGCCCGAGCAAGTCCCAGTATAGAATACCATCCAGCTTGGAGTACTCGCTCAGTGGGGGACATCACAGCTCAGCTAGGGCTCGACTCGGCTTTCTGAGGACAGGTATATGGGATGCACCACAAGAGGCGGACTCATGAAAAAGCACAATCCTCATTATCTGGAAAAAACTCTTGTTTTGGAAACCCTCATGGGACCATGCCCAATGGGCCTTGGCTTCAGTAAGGCGGTCCGTGGAGTCCTGGCAAGAAAGGCTGCGATCATTGTTCAGGGGACTGAAATTATGTGGGTGTTATATAGGGATGTGTGGAGTTTAGGGTTTAGGATTGGGGTTTAGGGATTAAGGTGACTAAACTTAAGTTGCCATAGTAAGGACACCTTGTTGTCTTTGGTATATCCATGCTAGACCACCTTAACAGATGCTTCACTGAAAGTACGCACAGCGATGAGAACCACATCAAGGAAGCTTACCCTCCTTGCTCCGGTGAGAAGCGCCTACCATGTCTGTTGTTACTCTTAGGTATCGTGGCCAGACCTTAGACTCTGTATCCAAGTCAACTCCTCCAGGAAGTGCAGCATCTAAAGTCACAACTCTGAAAACTATGGAAATCCCTACAGAACCCCTAGCAAGAACAAGTCTGATCGTTAAATATCCTCATCAGGGAAGCCTTCTCTGGCACGTACTGAACTGCTGCTGAGGAACTTAAACTAGGTTACAACAGCAAGCAATGTTATCCATTGCATCCCCACTCTAAACACTAAACCCTAAACCCTAAACCCTAATCTAAAATTCCTGGACAGCCTCACACCCTGGATTCTCCCCCGTGCCTTGGCGCAGGTAACTGCCTCGCAGCCGGCATACAATGGCTTGAGCAGCTATTTGGGGCAGTATACCTATATATGTAAATATGTAATATATATATATATGTTAGCATATTGCAAAACACACATGTAATTCATGAAATCCATGACACCGTGCTCCCTACCCATTTGGTTGCTTCGTGCTCGCCCAGTCTATAAGACGATTTGGCGCCCTTCTCATGTGAAGGGCTGTTGTTCCTGGGATGGCGTTGCTACTTACGGCTTCCCGGAATAAGAACAATTTTGGCGTGACTGTTGTAACTAGTGGCCTGCCTGTTTGTACTTCTACTCATGCTACCGGGATGGGGATCCTGCAAAAGCAAGCGAGCAAAGGGTGCAAAGATCCTTAAGCCTCAAAACCCGAAAAACCTTGAATGCCAAAACTCTGAAGCATTGCAGTTGAGTGGGTTTCACCTTGTCTTAGGGGCTTCCAGCCCCCTGGTTAATAAAACTGCGCAACATTCATGCTGGGCATCCAGAAGCACCCACTCGTCTTCTGAGAAACCCCTGCTTCAAAACCCCGATGGTCCCCCTTAAGTAGACAGAATATGGCGTATATGGGGATGTTACTAGAATATACCCAAAGCAATATTCTATCTACTTAAGGGGGACTATAAACCCTAAACCCTTAAACCCTAAATAGTAGTTTCCATTTTCTTTTCCATCATCCCTAAATAACCCAATATACTATATAGTAGTTTCCATTTTCTTTTCCATTATCCCTATAAAACCCCTAATATATCTACTTAAGGGGGACTA